TAAGGAAAACCTCTAAAATGTTACCTACTGCAAGCATAAAGTACAACTGACATTTTCAACGAAAACACTCATAAAGTACTTAGCGAAGTTGACCTATAAAAGTAAAAACTTTCGTATGCTAAAAAAATCATAAATCCTGGCAAAACTTTGGATATTTTTTTCATACGATATAAGTTTAATAATAAAATATATTTTCCAACAGATATCTTCAGAAATGTAATCGAGAAGAGTATTCCTTTCGATGGAGAATCCGTAGTGAAAATTTGGATCGGTCCCAGACTTCTGGTATTCTTGTACGATCCTCGTGACGTTGAGTTGATCCTTAGCAGTCACACACACATCGACAAGGCTGATGAGTACAGATTCTTCAAACCTTGGCTCGGAGATGGTCTATTGATCAGTACTGGTGAGATTATCCTTATTAAATTATTTGATCATAAAATATGTCTAGACGAAAGTAATGTTAAAAAACTCTATAAAAATGTAGTTTCGTATAAAAAGTCCATGGTAAAATTAGGCACAAGGTGTAAACCTATTATAACAATAACTGGCTGAATGTTCGACTTTATGACGTCAAACCGTAATAATAAAGTTTTAAAGACGATTGTAGAATATCAATAGGCTTAATTCGTATGGAGGAAAAATTTACCGGACCAAAAATATATCGGGGACCACGTCACCTTATTATAGGTACACTATTGTTTCTTTATAAAACTTTATTCTGTGAACTAAAGCGCAGTAAACTTGCTTCCTATATTGCAAATTACAGCCGCATATCCATAACTCACTGGTAATTATTTACCACATATGCGCTACAATTAGTTACATCAAATATCTTGTACATAATAGTCTTAAGAACTATTCTGACGTGTATTTATCTCATTTTCTCAGGCCAGAAATGGAGGTCTCACCGCAAACTGATTGCCCCCACTTTCCACTTGAACGTCCTGAAGAGTTTCATTGATCTGTTCAATGCCAACTCCAGGGCCGTTGTTAACAAGCTGAAGAAGGAATCAGGGGAATTTGACTGTCACGACTACATGAGCGAATGTACTGTAGAAATCTTACTTGGTAAGTCCATTTTATGTAGGTACATGTCCCAAATATTAACATCGCATCACTATGGCATTTAAGCGCCAAAATTTTGATTCTAACATGTTTTCTAAGCATTTGTTTATTCATGAGTATTATTTTTGATTGATGACGCCACTACTGCTTTGTCATTATGCATAATATGGCCAAAATATATTTTCCTGATTGGCGACAAACATTGAAAATTATAATTAAAGCACGCAATACATCATTAAAATTCGACGAAACAATACATCTAATAATTTCAATATATTTAAATATGTTTTATACGACTGGTCTATTGTATTCAAAAATAATAAATTAGTCCGTATCACAAATAACAAAATGTGTAATAGTTGAACATTTCTTTCGTTTTCAATGTTATGCCGCGTACGTGATATTAGGCATGCGCAGAACCATTCAGTTTTCGTTACCAATCGTCAAATGTGCGTGAGAGGAATAGTTATAATTTGAATCTATTAAATCTCCAATCACTCCATTCCATACAACATTGAGTAAAAATTTTCTAAATTGATACATATAAATTTAAGAAAAATTTATAAGTTAAACGAAATATTCTTTGAATAAATAAACTTTTAGAAAAAGGTACCTTGTGCTTAAAACACGTATGGGTTCGACCTTCATTTGACAATCTCGTATAAGTTCTATTCAACTGAAGTTTTGCGTACAATTGCTAATCACGCCTCTAAATGTAAATAAAATATGAATTATTATAATAAAACCGCTATGAATACGTCATAAAATTTTATAAAAAAGACATGTAAAAAAGTGTAAAGCAACAATAAAACTAGACCGATCGCATTTAGTGGAAATGGTCTTAAATCTCAAGGTGTTAGCACAAAAATAATGCAAAATAAAGAGCAATTTGTATGTAATGTCACGTAGCGAGCCACGTTGTGACAACACGCCGGCCCTCACATGGACAACAGACCATGTTCTTGAAACAAATGCCGCGAGAACCTATTAAACCGTTTGCGAAATCTACGACTCGAAGATTACCTACGTGTTGATTCGATATACTATTAAACTAAATTATATTTAATGCACAATTCTCTTATTCAGGCCGCCACTGCATCAACAAGCTGTTGCATATTACATGATCTTATTATGCGGTTGTGAGAAGTAACACTATGCAACCATAATTCCAAGATTTTTAAACTACGCAAATATGGCATCACGTAGCTAGTAATCGCCTTATTGCGTACAATAAATAATAATAGTTGTTAGAAGGAAGTTGACATAAATAGAGCTCTAAATAGCAGTGTGCACCCGAGCTGTTTGTTATGATAATTATGTAGAATGCTTAGAACAATTTATGCCGCGGCATTGCAAAGTCGCCTAAACTCGTAGTATAAAACCTATTACAGGTTTTTCCTTAAGCGGAAAACGCAGCCTCGGAAGTAACTTAGACCTTTGCGTGTGAATTACAAACTTATTTAACCTTTATGGTAGTTAACAAAGCCCAACAAATGCCATTATGTGGATAAAGTTTTATTTGTACGCATAAAATAAATTTGATAATAGTTTTGTTAATCACCCGCTAGTCATGCCATCAATGAAGTAAACGACCCTGTCGTTATTTTAAGTCGGTGATACATATTTTCTCTGCATTGTAGATATTGTATTTGGTATATTTAAATCCCGCATTGCATCTCAAATAGAGATTTAAATTGCTTTCAAGAACAGCGTGCCTGAGTCATTATTTCATAAAGGCGAATCTCTACAGTGAGTGTTGATGGAAGTATGATTGAATCATTGGTACGTGCGTGGTACCACTCGGCACTGATTCATCGCACACGTAGTACTACTGGTGTCAGGTTTGGCGACCCCCCACGTGCTCACGTGCTAATGGCCAATATTCGCCATTCCTGGCCACATCGTTAGGCTCCTTTATTGTTATCCTCCTTACGCAACAGTTTTTAAATTTAATGGAGGTCAAAAACTCTTTCTTTTATTACCTACCAAGAGTACATAGATAATTTGCTTACACTCGTCCTATCTATTACAGAGACTGCTATGGGTGTCAGCAAAACTACACAAGACCAAAGCGGATTCGAATACGCTATGGCTGTAATGAAGATGTGTGACATCCTCCACTTGAGACATACCAAGATCTGGCTCAGACCAGACCTCCTCTTCAAGTTCACCGACTACGCTAAGACTCAGACTAAACTCCTTGACGTCATCCACGGTCTGACCAAGAAGGTAATTATTTAAATGCACTAGCTGTCCTAGACTTCGCGGCCTATAGCTACAATGTCTGACTAGTAAGAACTAGTTACTCGCACGACCATCAAAGGCGGCGAGAAACTAGCATTATAATGAACAACATAGAAATAATTACGACAAAGTAACTCACTATAATGTTAATTTTAAGGTTATCCGAAGGAAGAAGGAGGAATTCAACTCTGGCAAGAGGCCCACTATTTTGAACGACTACAGCTCCACCACTGAGGAAACCACCAAAACTACATCCGTCGAGGGTCTGTCATTCGGTCAGGCGGCCGGTCTTAAGGACGATTTGGATGTTGACGACGCCGATGTAGGGCAGAAGAAACGTTTGGCCTTCCTTGACCTTCTCCTCGAGAGTTCACAGAGCGGCGTTGTTATTTCCGATGAGGAAATCAAGGAACAAGTAGACACTATTATGTTCGAGGTAAATATTCTGAAAACGGTAAACAACACAAAATAGTATCTCTTTGAATACAAAATAACTAATTTAATATAATGTTTTATTCAGGGTCACGACACGACTGCCGCTGGAAGCAGTTTCTTCCTGTCGATGATGGGTATCCACCAGGACATTCAAGACAAAGTAATTGAAGAACTTGACAAGATCTTCGGTGACTCAGACCGCCCAGCCACTTTCCAGGACACTCTTGAAATGAAATACCTGGAAAGGTGCCTCATGGAGACACTCAGAATGTTCCCTCCAGTACCTATCATTGCTCGTCACCTGAAGCAAGACATCACTCTTCGTAAGTATTACTTCAATCATTTTATACTTTTAATATTTTTGTGAACTTGTTTTAATAGTTCTTTAATTTCCTACAGCTTCATGTGGTAAACAAGTACCTGCTGGTACAACCGTAGTAGTAGCGACATACAAACTGCACCGTCGCCCTGACGTGTACGAAAACCCAACCAAGTTTGACCCTGACAACTTCCTGCCTGAGAAATCAGCGAATCGTCATTACTACGCATTCGTGCCATTCTCTGCTGGACCCAGGAGTTGTGTTGGTAAGTGACGAAATTCCATAACGAAACTTTATAGTTAGAACCTTTTTTTGGGGTTTTGCCGTACTCAATCTACGTGTTCCTTCCGCAGGTCGTAAATACGCCATGTTGAAGCTGAAGATTATTTTGTCTACGATACTTAGGAATTTCCGCGTCTACTCTGATCTTAAAGAGTCCGACTTCAAACTGCAAGCTGACATCATCCTTAAGCGAGCTGAAGGATTCAAAGTACGCTTGCAACCACGCAAGTTGGCAAAGGCGTGTTGATTAGTTACGTTATAATTCCTAATTTTAATTTTTATGTAAATATGGACGCATGGTTCTCGCATTTTTACTAAGCCCGTGCTGATAGCGCGGAATAAAATATTTTCATTACATATTGTTAATGTCAAGAAAGATGTTATATCGGTGGCAGACCTTTAGACACGGGAAGGTGTTGATAACGGTGCAACAGTTGGCACGTTTTGCTCAATGTTATTTAACTATGCGGTTATTTTAAGTACTTTGTAAATAGACATTTAAATTATACCCTTTTTACGTTGTACGAATAAGTCGAACCAATAAAGTATAACAAATAAAGTTTATTTTATTTCTAAACTATAATATTACTCACATTATTTAAACATATACTCACACACTGTATATAAAAGGTTAGTAGGAATTAATTTCATTTATTTTTCTTCGGTCGGAAGTGCACGACTTGTACCACTACGCATAAAACTGCTATGAAGTTTTCTGATATCTTGAATCGTAGAAGTTCTACCGAGAGGTTCATTTGAGAAATCAAATTGAGATACATGTTGTTGCGACTTCTTGCATTCTATCTGATTCCTGAAATTATTTTAATCATATTTTATTGATCAATAATTCAATACATATTTAAGTGAACTAGACCAAATCATTACCTAGATATTAAAAATTATAAATTCTCAAAATTTTTCATTTAGATATGACATAGAATTTCATTCGGATATCTATTTTAGTCTAACGATGCCTAAACAAGGGCTTACCACAAAGGCGTCGTCACGAAGAGGGACCATAATAGGTACGAATTTAGCCAATAGCACAATTCTAGTCTAGACGACACTGGTTGAGGACGCTACAGAATATATCGGTGAGGAGATCTTGGATTTAACATAAATATTAGTTATTAATATCCTTGTTTATATATCAAATTTTTTTTGCAAATACTCGGAATCGTGGAAAGTGTGGTTCAGTGGTTGGCAAAAACTGAGTGTTAGGTAAGGATTATATAGACAGTTGTCCTTGTCGACATGCGTTTTGTAACATCTTAGTTTTCAGAGAGAAACAAACCTTACTTACGCATATAACAATTGAATTTTATTATACATACCACAAGACATCCAGTGGAGTCCGATTGTGCACTGGGCACATACATGGCAGGAAGTCGTGGTGAGGTCGTTTGACCCACCAGCGCGCGTGCGACAGTTTCCATTCAATTGTTTTCATTTTAGCCACCGTACATCCGCCAGCCTCCCGCAGCAAATTGAAGTAGGATGCCATTAGTTCTTGACCTGAAAATAGATGATGTAGGTCAGATATTGTGCACATACATGTGTAAGGTACAACATTAAAACTGCCTATCATCGCAATGCTGTGCTGTCAACTAGACACGGCTAATCATAAAGTAATAAAGGTCATGTGTTTATGCGTAGAAATTAATTGTATCCTAATCGTATCAATTTTATGAAATCAAACAGAACTTGATATTAATCTGAACTGCGTTCTTTTCCATTGTTCTGACAAATAGACCTTGATAAACCAGAAGAACTCACTGTTTCAAGATCCTAACAAGGTTTATTTTCCATAATTCAAGTATTTCACACGATATCTGGGACTGTCTGTGTGTTTGTCTGTCTTAGAACCCAAAAAGCGGTATTTGGTACCAAATTCAAACATCATAAAGTGTTTTTAAAATACTCATGCTATTAATCTGATCTTTTTCAAGACGAAAAGTATAAATTATGACAATTAAATCCAGAAAATAAGTGTAGTCGAGTGAAGCATGCCTTCGGTTCATATTAATAAAAATACGATAACAATTATATGGATGACTGATTGACCTGCAGAAATGGCCGTCATAAGTCTCGATTGTTCAGCTTCTTCTTCGTAAATCTCGTTTTCATTTTTGATGTATATCTCACCTATTTCTTGCCCTTCCTTCCCGCTTTCAGCTCCCACCTTATTCTCACTTTCCAGCTGATTTGATAAAGAACGACATATTAGTTAAATAATCCGGAACTTAATTATAACGTTGAGTTTTAATTTATAATATTTGGCAATAACAATCACAAAAGAAGGTCAATCTCAGCAACATCCATTAAACTATTCTATAAAAAATTATAATTTTAAATATACCGCTTGAAACCGAAAGCCCATGAAACAAAGGAAGGCTTCGGCGAGATGTTGAGTGCCTAATTCCGGCCGCTCTCTCCTTAAATGTAGCTCGCCCAAGAGATGCAGGGCTCGACCTAGCTGTCTTCTTAAACCATGATCCATCGCAGTGGCTCCCATCTCCGTAAGCAATTTGGCCGCAGTTTCATATTCACCTAACCTGTAAGTACCAGTTACTCTGTATAGATATAAAGTCGAGTTAGATTATTAGTTGTAAGGTGGCGGCAGAGAAATATATAAGTGTCTCTATAGAATGAGTTTGGTTTCCTTATTCCCGTGGTGCCGTAGAATATACTACTTATTATATAGGAGACCCGGCAGTATCGGTATCTGATCAATCTGAACCTTTTATAATTGGATCTCCAGCCTATCTATAATAGTGAATATGGCTCATATATCAAAATTGTCCAGCGTTGGACTGTTGATGATGTTGATGGTTTTAAACCAGCTACATAGGCTTGGTTTCTAGTATACGGTACTTACAGTCCTTGTATGCTTATGTTATAACTAACATGACGGCATATTATGCTTTTCATAATGCAAAAATTATAGTGAATATTAAAACATTATAATTACTTTGTGTTCAATAGAAACAGGTTTGCAAATATAACATTCTTGTTAATGCGTATTTTATGAAAAGTGGACTCTTAAAGTAGATATATTATTATTTTGAATAATAATAATGATACTTGTTCAAGCAGAACGTTATGCTTCATCGAATAATGTAATAAAAGTTCGATTTATCGAGAAGTTTGTAATTGAATACTCTCCAGAACAAAAGTCACTACTAAGATGGAAGTTCAGAGTGGTTATTTTGCCTATTACCTTAATATATTTTTAAATTAATGTTGAAGATTATGCATATTCATTCTAAGCAAAAATCAAATAATAAATAATAAAAATGTTATTGAAAATTATTATTATTATTTGGAGAAAACTACACATTCAGACTTAAACAATATTCTAACAGTACTAGAACGCGCTTACCGCTGCATAACCGCTGCTAAATGCATTCTCGTTTCACAAATGCCTTCCACATTCCCGCTCTGCTCATGAATCTTATAAGCCTTCTCAAACGTTTTCTGCGCATTATTTAAATTGTTCATCACCAACTGACAAATTCCAATTTCAATTATCGCTTCGGCTGTTTTTGCTGTTTCTCCAGCTGTTACAGAAACGACATATAATATATAGTAGATCACATATTAATTAAGAAAAAAATATAATTTGCAGTAGCATTCTAATTTAAAGTCAAGGTCAAAATAATTTATTCCAACTTAACCATAGACAGGTACTTTGTACTCAACGTCAAAACTGGTAAGTTCAAATGATTGTAATTCCTAAAAACTATTAAATACCGACACAACCACAGCGACTGAGATATTAACATAGAATAAAAGACCAGCTTTTTGAATCGTCAATCCTTGCCCTTCCCCTCCCAATTATCAATTCTCAAATCCTATATTCTTAAATCCCTTGTAACCTACAAGAAGTCGGCAACGCACTTGTGGTAACTCCTTTGGTATTACGAATGTCCATGTGCGGCTGATTGCTTTCCACCAGGTAATCGGTCTGCTCATATACCCACCAATGACATAAAAAGATCGTATAATTATCGCCATACCTACTACCTACCGTCTTTAGCCCTTCTCTCAGCCAAGCGAGCCAGTCTCTCAGCCTTAGGCGGGTCTGTCTTGCGTACAGTTCTTGCTTTGTCGATTAATACTCTGTGTAATTGTATAGCTGTCGCCCCAAACACCGTTTCAGTGGCTGGTACATCTCCAGCCTCCTTAACATCGTGTAATGGCCAGGACTGTTGAAAAGAAGCATGTTGTTGATATTTCTATGCATCTTTTTCACGCTTAACAACGACAAACCATTTTATTTAACAAAAAGAAAATGTTGAGAACATCTCAATGGTTCAGGTACAGAAATATGCTACATAATGAAGTGGTAATAAAGTCTGATTATACGTACTTAAAATGATAGGTATGTTAGATAACCACGTAATGTAGCAGATACCACATAACCTAGTAACTAATTGGCTTCCGCAGTGGAAAACATTATCTCGTACGAAGCACTTATCAATTTTATATATACAGTAAATGGGAACAAAAAAAAATATACTAATACTGAACTGATAGATTTTATGTCCGAAAAACAACAATCGACGACGTCGGCAAACGAGAAGACGGATTACCTGATGGTAAGCAATCACGCACGCCGCCCATGGACACCCGCAACGGAGGAGTTGTGTTGTGTGACGAGTGCGTTGCCGACCTTTTAGGGATTAGGATTTTGGAGATTTAGGGGTTGGGGAGGGATCGGGAGAGGGGAAGGATTGGGCCTCCGGTAACCTCACTCATACGGCGAAACAACGCTGTGAGTTGTTTCACGCCCATTTTCTGTGAGGCCTTGGTATCATTCCGGTCGTTTTTTTTCTTTCTTTCTTTCTATTTCGTACTAAAGCATGGCTCACCGACACAAAACGCATAATTATTAACGTAATTTGCATTACATTACCTTTCCAATAGAAAAATCTCGTACTTCTGTCAGTAAGGAAAACGGTTCTTCTTGGTCCGCTCCTGGAACTTAAAGTTATATTTTTTAAATTCATATCATATCATATTACTCTAGAGAAACAGTAGAAAAGCCATATTGCAGCACAAAAAAGTTTAAGAAACTTATTAATAGTAATTACATTTTATATTAACTAACATTTGTCCAGTAGAAACTTCCCATAACGGTATTTACAAATGGATTTCAACCTTCCACCATCAAGCAGATGTTTACTGGAAACGGCAATCGCTGCTTGAAAGAATTTTTCCGCTAACCACAGGATGCCCTTTTCTTTTTCCGCATAGAACATCGCTAGCTTCAGCAAATGGCTGCATTCCTTATGTGTATTATCTTGAAATAATATATTTAAAAAGATGTAAAATCTAAAATCCTTATTGCATATTATAATATGTCATTTATTATTTTGGCTTGCTGTAAGACAAACGAATAAAAAGGATATCCTAGCATTTTTTTTTTTAATTAAGAGTCAATTGCATTGAAATGGTCGTTAATCGTTATTAAAGCCTTGTGGCACACGTACAACTAACAGAAATGGCATTTCATGGGGGATAAATTGAAACCCGATTTTCTCCATCTTAAAGAATGTCATGGCATGTCCAAATTGCAAAAGTGAGACCACTATTTCGTCCGGGGTCGTGGTTGCAAACGAAATACTGTACCGCGGCTCCAGTCCGGGACAGGCAGAAGAACAGGATGTTTAGGTTAGTCAGTAAGAGTCTAATGCTCACTTTCACCTCACCCAGGGCATGAGAAGTCATTCAATGTTTTTTATGAAATAGGAGGCAAATGAGCAGACGGATCACCTGATGATAAGCGATCGGCGCCACCCATGGATACCCGCAGCACCATAGCCATGTTATTTCTATGATAATTGCAATAATAACTATCTGTACGAACTTTGTTCACGGTACTTTTCTACTTTCTGTAGGGCAGAACTGATATGGTGCAAGTAATCTTCTCTCTTCCGGAGGTCTACTACAATTCCAATATCATCTTGGTCCACAAGTTGTACATTATCGTAAATAAGATCTTGCAGGTACGCCGATGAATCCAAGAACCCGGCCTCTTTAAGTTCCAAAATTAGACACTCATGAAGAGGAAATTTACGCCTGAAAATAGTCAGGAACCTCAATTAGATAAAACTTAACTGACACAAATTAATTTCATCTTTCTACCATACAGGCTTAGTAGAATAAAACAACACCAAAAAGGGAAAAAAATAACAATAACACAAGATAATGCAATAAACAGAGGGTCATTTTAAACAAGGTACACATACAAATTCAAGGACCCGATTGGTGCTGAAATAGAAGAACTTTTTCTCAAAAATGATCAATCAGCTATTGCGATTTGTATTGCAAAATAAATTTATTTTTGAGATTTGGGTAATATTGGTCCCATGGGAAAAGTTGTTGTAATTGAGCACCAAAATCGGGTGCCTGAATAAGTCCTTCGTTCAAAATGGCACCCTCTAAAATAGTATAATTACATTACATTATTTTAAGTATGTACCCTTTAGGAGATACAAATACTACTGTACCTTCGAATACCATTGGCGTCGAGTACGTCTAAAGAGAAGATAGCTCTGCTACGGAAATTCTCCAAGCTTGTCTTAGTCATACATGCCATTAATTTGGGCAGTGGACGTTTCTTAGGAAACGTTTTATATTCGTTGTCCTTTTTAGTCATATCAGTAGGATTATTAAAATCCATTATCAAATAGCAAGTTATCAATAAAACAGGAAAATTAAAGCAACATAAAAAATAATTAATGATTCGAGCAGTATTGTCAAAATTGACAATATTTTGTAAACATTTTCTTACTTTGATAAACCTATTTTGTGAAAAAGAAACAAAACCTTCTTTAACAAAAAAAGTACTAAAGCAACATAACTATGTATTTGTAAAGTTTAATTTTCAATACATCTTTGAGTAGCATAGAGATGATAAGGAATTGTAGTATAGCTCCTTCTAATTTAACCTACCACTTTGTTTTCACCCATTGTTCCAATAAAACCTATAATATTGAATGGATGTCAGTTACTCTAAAAACATTGAAAATAGCTACTAAATCGCATGATTTCAATATTTAGTCTCACAATAACTACTATACAGCATAAAAACCTAACTTGCAACAAGCAACTACCCTTCACATCTTTGAGAAAAATGGCACAAGTATAGAATCTTCACGCATAATTAAGTGCATGTGGGACAACAGCGTGTATTTCAAATGACGTGTGATAATTTACCACGGGATTGGCCCTCTTAGAAAGCCCCCCGAAATATAAACAAGAAACAAGAAAAAAAGCCTTGTTAGTTTTTACGATACCTCTTGTTAAATTTTATGATAAATTCTGTAGTTTCCGTCTTCGTAACGTTTATTCAGTCCATGTTTATCGCGGACCCTTCGAAGGGTGAATATTTTTAGTAGCAATGAATTTTTTGACCATGACAAAAAATAAATTCTCCCAATTTTGTTTTGGCACCGCAATATTTATATAGTGAAAAAATGCTGAATCATCAAGTCACTTCAATTTTAGATAATAATCTGGCATTCCATTGCGTTACGTGTTATTAAATTAGATGTCTAAAAATTCCTCATTAGTACTTGACTTCATTTTGCCTGATCGACCTTAAACCTTTAAACACAATTTTCTATCTTACCCAAACCTATAGGCCTACCATGACGTGTTAAAGCGTCAATATTCCGGATGAGAAAGAGGAAAGGAGCAATACCTTTTAAAGTTCCATCCTTCTTTCCCGCCCAGTTTTTCAACGAACAAAAATCAACAATAACCGCACACACGATTTTACCTTACAATTTACGATTTTGATCAAAATTTCATCAAGTTTTCTTATTTTTATACTTTATATAGTTCCATTTATAGAAACTATGTACGTAGCAAACGATAATATGCATCACGTCCGATCCAGAAATGTGTCACAACATTATTACGTTCAACAAGATTGTATCTACCATCAAATCATTGATCATTGCAAACATTCATAGCATGTTCTTGCAAAATTGCTCAGTGTTAACCCGAATTGGAAAAAGGTATTACAATTACAAGATAATGTTTGCTACTTACATTATTCAAATAACATAGATGGTCTAAATACTATAATGATAAATAATATAGGAAGAAATCTTAGAACCGTGTACGTTTCGTAGATATACTTCTGCTTCTGAAAAAATCTGCTAAAGTAATGCAAGCCGAGTATGGTCGAGTATAAACCCTAAGAGCTATAATTATACATAACTAGCTCTTACCCGCGGCGTTGCTCCCGTCATTTGAATACATCCCTACATTACCTACTCTACCTACCCTACCTACCCTACTCTACCTACCTCACTCTACCTACTCTACTCTACCTACCCGACTCTACCAACCCTACTCTACTCTACCCTACTCTACCTACCCTTCTCTACCTACCCTACTCTACCGACCCTACTCTACCTATCCTACTATCTACCTACCCTACCCTACCTACCCTACCCTACCTACCCTACCCTACCTACCCTACTCTACCAACCCTACTCTAACTACCCTACTTTACCTACCTCACTCTACCTACTCTACTCTACCTACCCTACCCTACCTACACTACACTACCTAAACTACTCTATCTACCCTACTCTACCTACCCTACTCTACCTACCCTACTCTACATACCCTACTCTACCTATCCTACTATTTACCTACCCTACCCTACCTACCCTACTCTACCTACCCTACTCTACCAACCCTACTCTACTTACCCTACTCTACCTACCTACACATATAGATGTGTTCGTATCTTCTATCCTTATATATTTGATCTTCATCCAGCATAACCTTACATAGGCGGGCTTAATGCCATTAGTATTTTTATAGTCCATCTTTGGGTAAAGAAGAGAAAGTTTAGTACATGTAATAGGAAACAAACTTGATTCACTAAAATCCTGATAAATCTTCTATTACCTATTCAATTTAAATTTCTTTTCCCTTACTTGATAAGAGATTATAATGTGTGATAAATATTTATCGAATTAAATAGAACATAAAACTATTTGTTGTTTGTTCTGTTCGAATTGGTTTAACGTACACGAAGGACCTTGAAATGAGGTAACATTATCGAGGACTGTGACACGACCCTTGGCCCAGATGAAACAAATTACGGAGTTAGGGTGCCGACATACATTTTCGGTGAATGTTACTTGATAACTTGCTCTAAATTTCCTACAAACTATCTCAAAAAGGGAAATATGGTCATAGTTTGACGACAAATCTCTCTTCATAGACTTGCTCATATTGAATTCTATTAAAATATTTTGTAGGAATTTGATTTGATTACAGTTGGCTACAGCGCTGCATGTACTCTTAAATGGGTAATGGCTTGAACGAAACTAAATATTTTTTTTAATGAAGATTTGTGCAGTGTGATGGATTGCAATTAATAGGAGAACCTGGCTTATTTCAATTCGCAGTATCTTCCTATAAATTCTGAACCACGCGAATTAGGCAGTATGTTTTCGACTTAACCTTTAGGGGACATTCGAGGTTGGCGCCGATACGACGGACGATGTGCGACGCGCCCGCCAAACCGAGACGACGAACCAGTGCGATCAATTCCACCCTTGTCTCTCCAATCACCGCCATTACGATTTACAATGACTGTTCCACGAGATATCGAATTCGATTCCAATGTCGTGCCAAGTAAAATTAGGTTTTTATCGAAATACTAGGTTGAGATTTATGGTCGACGTATGGCCAAAGCAATAAATACTTGAACAATCCCTAATGTTGAGATATTTTTTCATCAAAATGTCTTTTCGTGTATGGCGATAGGGAATGTGACTCTTACGGACTAAACCCTTCCTCCTCTCCCCCCATTCCTTCTCTTCCAAGCCGATGTAGCGGTACTTTACTTCGCTGACTCGCAATCCCGGCTTACTTTATGAAATATGAAAACTGAATTCTGAACATGTGTAACAGCCCTTTAACTTTATTGTCATTATTATGTTGTGTTGTGTTGTTATAAGAACTGTATACGTTCAACGTGTTGTAATAAAAGGTGAATATACTTAGTAATAGTCGCCGTGGTTTCTATGTACTTTTACAATAATTATGGACTTTGTACGATTCAAAACCTCAGTCAGAGCCCTCGTTATCCATCCAACATTCGACCAACCAAACAATATGCAATACGATTGTAAAAAAAACAGAATTAGTTTTAAAACTGACTGCTTTACATTGAATCAACAATCATTACAATAAAGGTCAGGATAGCATGCCTAAAAATAGAAAATCGGTATTATCATTTTATTTTGGTAGCACAATATTAGTTAAAATAAGTACCTATAATATTGAATGGATGTCAGTTACTCTAAAAACATTGAAAATAGCTACTAAATCGCATGATTTCAATATTTAGTCTCACAATAACTACTATACAGCATAAAAACCTAACTTGCAACAAGCAACTACCCTTCACATCTTTGAGAAAAATGGCACAAGTATAGAATCTTCACGCATAATTAAGTGCATGTGGGACAACAGCGTGTATTTCAAATGACGTGTGATAATTTACCACGGGATTGGCCCTCTTAGAAAGCCCCCCGAAATATAAACAAGAAACAAGAAAAAAAGCCTTGTTAGTTTTTACGATACCTCTTGTTAAATTTTATGATAAATTCTGTAGTTTCCGTCTTCGTAACGTTTATTCAGTCCATGTTTATCGCGGACCCTTCGAAGGGTGAATATTTTTAGTAGCAATGAATTTTTTGACCATGACAAAAAATAAATTCACCCAATTTTGTTTTGGCACCGCAATATTTATATAGTGAAAAAATGCTGAATCATCATGTCACTTTAATTTTAGATAACAATCTGGCATTCCATTCCATTACGTGTTATTAAATTAGGTGTCTGAAAATTCCTCATTAGAACTTGACTTCATTTTACCTGATCGACCTTTAAATACAATTTTCTAACTAACCCAAACCAATTTTTCAACGAACAAAAATCAACAATAACCGTATTCACTCTCACACACGATTTTACTTTAGAATAATAAAATTTTATACAATAAACATTACTGAAGGTTTGAAGGTCGTATCGGTAAATACCGCGGCCGAATGATCATTGCAAAGTTTTCGTCTCGCGTGATTCCGGTTCGTCTCGTACCTATATGTTCGGTTCGTCACGTATTGTTTCGGTTCATCTCGTACGATTTCAGTTCTGGTCATGTGATTTCGGTTCGTCTCGTATGATTTCGGTTTGGCTTGGTTCGGCTCGGTTCGGTTCGGTTCAGTTAGTTACTTAATTAAATAGTTATGTAGTTCGTATTAGTATTAAAAAAAATGCCAGTATAAGAGTTGGTCCTGAAAATGTCATTGGTTAAGAAATATACAGGTATGTTTTGGTGGTCCAAGTTAACTAAAATTGTTGTAGGACAGCATATTTTTCAAGTATTTTATTAATCAAACTTTGTTATGAAAAGTTTAATATTCGTTAAGATAACAAAGCATGTTCAGTAACAAAGGGACGTCCATCGATACAAAATGATCAAAATTTCATCAAGTTGTCGCATTTTTATATAATACTTTATATAGATCCATTTATAGAAACTATGTAAGCAAACGATAATATGCATCACGTACGATGCAGAAATGTGTCACAACATTATTACGTTCAACAAGATTGTATCTATCATCGCTATAAGGTAATATT